AAACCATTTTCAAGAAACATTTACCAAACTTTGAAAACCATTTTTCAAAGTTGGTTACCAAACTTAAAACCATTTTTTAATCTTTCAACAATCTCCCACTTGAAGACTGATTTTAATCTGTCTTCACACTCGATCAATGCACAGCTTTTCTAGTCTTGTTACTAGCATGCCAACTGAAGTTGAACACAACTTCAGTTTTTCTGTAGTCACCGTCTTTGTCAACATGTTTGCCGGATTTTGAGCTCCACTGATCTTTCAAGTTTTCAAAATCCCATCTTCCAGAAGAGACCGGATAAAATGATATCGCAATTGTATTGCTTTGTCCTGGAATGAAAAGACGAATTCTTTGCTAGATGTATAACACTTTGACTGTCGCAATACAAGACATTGTTATCTTGTTTCTTTCCTAACTCTTCCAAGAAACTTTGGAGCCAAACCATCTCCTTGCTAGCTTTCGTAACAGCGATATGTTCTGCTTCAGTTATGGAGAGAGCAACTATCTTCTGTAGTTGAGAAACCCAACTCACTGTGGTTCCTCTTAGAGTATAGACATACCCTGTAGTGCTCCTTCTGATGTCAACATTTCCGGCTAAGTCAGCATCTACATAGCCTGTCAGTATCGTATCTCCACCTTTGAAACAAAGTTCTTTGTTTGTGGTACCCCGCAGTATTGAGGATCCATTTGACTGCTTCCCAGTACCTTGCCCGGATTATTCATGTACCTGCTAACAGCTCCCACTGCTTGAGCAATATCTGGTCTGGTACAAACCATGGCATACATCAGACTTCCAATTGCTGAGGCATACGACACCTTCACCACGTGTGCACGTTCTTCCTCCGTCTTTGGTGACTGTTCTTTGGAGAGTCTGAAATGAACACCTAAAGGTGTACTTACTGGTTTAGCATCTTGCATGTTGAACCTGGAGAGTACTTTGTTGATGTACTCAGCCTGTGATAATATCAAAGTCCCCGACTTTGTGTCTCTTGATCCTCATCCCAAGAATCTGCTTTGCAGCGCCCAAATCCTTCATAGCAAACTGCTTTGACAATTTTGCTTCAGTTTATAATCTCTTGCATGTCTGAGCCTGCAACGAGCATGTCATCAACGTACAACAATAAAATAATGAAGTTATTGTCAAACCTCTTGATGTAGAAACAATGATCTGCTTGGCATCTGGTAAAACCACTGCTACTCATGAAACTATCGAACTTCTTGTACCACTGTCTAGGAGCTTGTTTTAAACCATACAAGCTCTTCTTCAAACCTGCATACCAGGTTTTTTCTTGCATGCCTCTATGAAGCATTATGGCTGCCTCATATAGATTTCTTCCTCCAAATCACCATGAAGGAAAGCTTTTACATCTAACTGCTCAAGATGTAAATTCTCTGCAGCTACAATTTTCAACACCAGTCTGATTGTAGACAGTTTCACGACTGGAGAAAATTTCATTGTAGTCAATACCTTCTTTTTACTGAAAACCTTTGACAACTCGAACTTCTTGTACCACTGTCTAGGAGCTTGTTTTAAACCATACAAGCTCTTCTTCAACCTGCATACCAGGTTTTTCTTGCATGCCTCTATGAAGCATTATGGCTGCCTCATATAGATTTCTTCCTCCAAATCACCATGAAGGAAAGCTGTCTTTACATCTAACTGCTCAAGATGTAAATTCTCTGCAGCTACAATTTTCAACACCAGTCTGATTGTAGACAGTTTCACGACTGGAGAGAAAATTTCATTGTAGTCAATACCTTCTTTTTACTGAAAACCTTTGACAACCAATCTCGCTTTGTAGCGTTTGCTCCCTTCGTGCTCTTCTTTGATCCTGTAAATCCACTTATTGTGAAGCGCTTTCTTGCCTGGTGGTAATTCAGCTAATTCTCACGTCTGATTTGACAAAAGCGAGTTCATCTTATCTTTCATGGAAGACTCCCACTTGACTGAATCCTCCACTTGCATTGCTTCATCATAGCACTCTAGTTCACCATTGTCAGTCAGCAACAAGTAGTGCAAAGAAGGAGAATACCGTTGGGTTGGTTTAGGAATTCCTGGAGGAGCGTCTTAGTTTCGGTGTGCTGGTTCTTCTTGAACTGCTTCAGGACTGATCTGAACATCATTTCCAGAAATCTCCTCAAACTCAGCAATTCCTTTGTTTCAGCTTTGGTATTGGAGCTGCTTGATTCTACAGTTGACCTATCTTTGTACATCACATTCTCATTGAAAATGACATTTCTGCTTCTAATGATCTTTCGATTTTCATAGTCCCAAAACCGGTAACCGAACTCATCACCGTCGTAACCAACAAAGGCACATTTGTTGGACTTAGCATCAAGTTTACTTCTTTCAGCAGAGTCTATGTGTACATAAGAAATACAACCAAACACTCTAAGTGTGAAAGGTTTATTTCTTTCTTGCTCCAAACTTCCTCTGGTATTCTGCCATCCAAAGGAACTGAGGGCCCACGGTTGATCAGGTAAGCTGCAGGTTAATAGCTTCAGCCCATAGAAATTTGGGCAATCCGACATGTTCCTCATGCTTCTGGCACGTTCATTCAGAGTTTCATGCGCTCTACTACGCCATTCTGCTGCGGTGTCATGGGAACTGTTGTCTCCATCTTGATCCCATTGTTTGCGCAAAAATCTCTGAATCTCCTATTTCTGTACTCTCCTCCATTGTCAGACCTCAACCGCTTGACTTTCATACCATTCTCATTTTCCACCATGGCCTTCCATTTTCTGAAGGTATCAAAGACTTCTGATTTTTTCTTCAGAAAATAAACCCACACCTTCCTTGTAGAATCATCGATGAATGTGACATATAAATGAGCCTGCAAGAGATGGAACTGGAGATGGTCCCCATACTCAGTATGAACTAACTCTAACTTTCAGCCTTGGGTGTCTTACCAATCTTTGCAAAGCTGACTTTCTTTTGTTTGCCAAAGAGGCAATCCTCGCATAGTCCGACATCTACATTCTTTAGATCCGGCAGCTTCCCCTTTGACAAAAGTGTCTTCATCCCTTTCTCGCTCATATGGCCAAGCCTTTGGTGCCATAGGTTTGATTTTCCATCAGCATCTACTACTGCAATGATATTCTTTAAATTTGAGGTTACATAGAGAGTATCAGTCTTCTTACCACGAGCAATGACGAGTGCTCCTTTGGTAATCTTTCATTCACAACCTGAAAAGGTTGTACTGTATCCTTCTCCATCAAGCTGTCCTACAGAAATCAAATTTCTTTTGAGACCAGGAATATGTCTTACTCCTGTCAGCTTCCAGGTGGTCTGGTTTGGCAGCTTTAGTCGGATGTCTCCTTTTCCGACGATCTTCAAGGTTTCATCATCAGCAAGATGAACCTTCCCAAAATCACCACTGACATAGTTCTCCATGATTTCTTGGCATGACGTGGAGTGGAAAGATGCCCCTGAATCCAAAATCCATGATTCAATCGGACTGTTAACGCTTAAAATCATGGCATCACTTGTCTCCTCCGTCATGTTGGCAGATTCCTGTGCGCCGGTATTTTTCTTCGGTGCTCGGCAATCTCTTTTGAAGTGGCCCTTCTTGCCGCAATTATAACAGGTAAAATCTTTATTTCCTGTTCTTGATTTTTCCCCTTCTGGATTTCGATCTGCCACGATTTGAATTCTTTCTGAAGTTCTCCCTCTGGACTCCGTGTGCAAGGCTGAGGAGGTTGATGCTTCACCCGATTCTCTCCGTCGAATTTCTTCGCTCAGTACCAGATCCCGAACATCGTCGAATTTTAATTTGCTGTTTCCCGACAAACTGTTGACTGCTGTAACAGTAGCATTCCAACTGTCTGGTAAAGATGATAAGAGAATTAAAGCTCGAACTTCATCATCAAATTCAATTTCCACTGAACTCAACTGGGTTGTGATTGTGTTGAGTTCATTTAGGTGTTGTGCCACCGATGCCCCTTCCTTCATCCGCAAATTGAATAATCGCCTCATCAAATGAACTTTGTTTGAGGCCGATGGCTTCTCATACATACTGGAGAGAGTCGTCATAAAACCCGCCGTGGTCTTTTCCTTTGCTATGTTGAAAGTAACATTGCGGGATAACGTCAGTTGGATAACTCCGAGGGCTTGTCTGTCGAGAAGAGCCCAGTCTTCATTCTTCATGCCCTCTGGTTGTTTTCCTGAGAGGGGTTGATATAGATTTTTCTGGTATAGAAAATCTTCAATTTGCATCTTCCAAAATCCAAAGTCTGCACCATCGAACTTTTCAATTTTCACCTTCCCTTCATCTGCAGTCATCGCTCCCACTCGAATCTGGCTTCGTTTGGATCGTTTCTGACAATTTTTGCGAACTGCCGTGTATTAGAACACCTCCGTCGACAAACTCGTATCGCCGACCGAATTTCACTATTCACGAAATTCACTATTCACGTGAATAGTAATCCGAATAGTAACCTCGCAAAAAATTGACAAAATTCACAACCCAAAAGCTCTGATTACCAGTTGTTGGGAAATAAACCAAGTACAAGTAATTTCCCTATAATCAGATTAGTGAGAATGCAAAATAAAAGCGGAAAAATAATACCCGAAATTGATAACGGAGTTTAGCCAATTGTGCTTACGTCTCCAGACTGCTGCGGATCTTTTACTAAGAGAGAAAATTTACAGGTGTTTACAAAACATTCACTACTCACAAGAAAACTCTCTAGTATTAGGAGAAAGAAATGATTTTTGGGATGGTTTTAAAGCTAAATGAACTAGGGTATTTATAGTTGAAACTTAAGGACTTAATCATGTAAATACCCTAAAGCTTAGGTATTAATTGTGATTATCCCATTATCATTTTTCAACAAACATCTACCAAACTTTGAAAAACTATTTTTCAAATAAACATTTACCAAACTTTGAAAAACTATTTTTCAAATAAACATTTACCAAACTTTGAAAACCATTTTTTCAAAATTGGTTACCAAACTTGAAAATCATTTTAATACTTTCAACACAAATAACATGAGAATCCTCTTGGGATCAAGCAGCCATGGCGGAGGAGGCAGTCTGCAAATATTTCTCCTCATATTAAATCTGCTTTCAGTCGCTGCAGCGATACTGCCGGTCGTAATGGTGATCTGATGATGAACTTGTTGGTTGGTGGCAGGACCGGTGGTCCCGGAAACCACCACAGTGGGCTTTTCAGGCATACACGACCCTACCAGAGTAGTTGAATTACAATTAATTCAATGCTCAATCAATAAAACCAATGTAAACTAACAGTATTTTTTTCCCTGAAATTCAAATAATGCATGCGAAAAAGATTGCAGCTAAGACAAGTGCATCAACAAAAAGGACACTTACTCTCAAGAATCTGTCCTTTGCACACCAAGCTAATTAAACATGCGGTAGTACATGGTAAATTTTTCCTGGAATTTTCTTTTGGGGGAAGTTGAAAAGAAAAAAGACAAATGGAAAATTGGCAACGCAATTGTGAAGGAAAAGTTTGTACCTCTGGGTGAAGAGGAAACAAAAGAATCTGGTGGCGACCCTTTTCGTGAAAGGCTTCTCTGCGGAAATTTTCTAATCAAACATGTGACATTAAAAAAACACAGCATGTTTCGAATTATGTCAATAAAGGAAACTTACTGTGATTCTTGGATTTGGATTCATTTCTTTATCGAATACTCCATGAGAGAAACTTTCCATGTCGATGGAAAAACTATCGGATTTATCAGTAGGTGTGTATTGGAATCCGTTAGAAAGATCCAAAATTGAAATCTTTTGAATGGATTTCTTCTCTTCTGACACACCATCCTCTTAGGAAGACTCTAAATTCTATGAAGAACCCGACCAGACACAGTCAGAGGAAAACAGAAACAAAAGCAAAAAAACCAAGAGATTTTATACTTACCAACTTTGGATTTTCCTTCATGTCCATCATTTTCTCGAGAAAGTGACGGGAAGATTAACAGAAAAAGAAAACAATAAAGGGAGGTTCAGAAGGAAGAACAAGAAGTGGGATTAAGAGTCTATACAGAGTCAGCAACTGCGTATCCAGTGGGGCAGTCTCAATCAAACCATTTGATTACAACAAAGAGATTTTCCAACACGAAAAAAATTATTCTTGATATCTCATATCACCTCTTTGTTATAACTAAAATTTTATTTCAATCTCATTGTTACTTTTAAAAAATTACTGCCTACCAATATTAAAGAAGTACTAAAATTATCGTCTACAAGCACATCTATTCCAAATGTCATGTATCATGTTTAGAGTTTTGTATTTTAGGGATTAGATTTTAAGTTTATAAATTTAGGTTTGACGGTTTAAGATTTAAAATCTCATATTAAAATAAAAAATCGTATAAAATAAAGTTTACACAACCAATGTATCAAATATAAATTTTTAAAGAAAAAAATATGTAATATATAGATTGTGCAAACTAAAATTTGCACAAATTTATTTTTTAATGTCAATGTGTGTTATTTAACTTGTAAAGTTTATATTTTAAGTTTTAAGGTTTACGATGATAAATTTTAAGATCATTTGATGAAATCTAATAACTTATAATTAAAAGATGTAGTAAATTAAGCAATTATGAATTTAGCTTTTATCCTTTTACGCAATGAAAGGTCGCCAATACAATTATTTGTAATTAAACCATCTCTAACTTATAAAATAAATTCAAATTGAGGTTGACTTCTAAAAAGATATAACATAATAACCCTAACAGAAGGAGATGAGCTTGTACAAATGATTGACCTAAATTTAATTGATAATAAGTAAATGAATAAAGAAATTCAGTTTAAATGTATAATAGAAATAATAAAGAAAATAAGATAGCTTGGCCATAAATTATGGATGGAATTCAATAGCAGTTGTCGTGGAGGCAATGTTTATTGCAAGGTCATGTACTTCGCATTATCGAATAATTTAATTCCAGGTGGGCAATTAGAGCCATCAACACACATTGCTTAATGTCAACACACCTTTTTCGTCCTATTAGGATTCAAACTCCTAAAAATAGGATAGAATTTTAGGATTCAAACTCCTAAAGATATGATAGAATTTTGCTAGGATTCAAAAAATAGGATAGAATTTTATGATTTAAACTCCTAAAGATAGGATCCACAAGCACTATAAATAGCCATTGTAACTCACCATTGTAAGACACGATTTACACACAAAACATAGAGGAAAGCACGAGAAGATACAAAGGCAAAGCTATTGTAAATGATTCGAAAAATAAATAAAAGGTAGTATCTTTTTTACTTTTGATTTGGTCTCTTACATTTACGTTTTAATTATTATTATTTATTTAACTTTATTTATAAGCACATTTCCCTGTTACTCATTTATTAATTGTTTTGTTTTTTTTTTTTCATGTAATATTTTTTTTTTACATTTTATGTATTTCTTTTACTTTAGTATATTTTTATTTTTTAGATTATATTAAATATATATTTTTATCAGTTTTATTAATTTTATATATATATATATTATATTTACTTTTTTTATTTTTTATTTTATATATATTATTTTACTTTTATTATTATTTATTTATTTGTTTTATTTCTATATTTTTTTTTTTCTTCTTTTCTTTATTTTTATATTTATTTTACTACTATCTTTGTTTTCTTTATCTTATCTTTTATTTAATTTGTTTTCTCTTTATTTTAATTTAATTAATTTATTTATTTCTTACCTTTTTATCTATTACATTTTTATCTAACATGGTTTTTGACCTTTTTAAGGCCACACCTTTAAAACTATCTAAGGTAAGTAATTGTGATCGTATTTTTACCTTTTAATTTTAAATTACAATTTTCTTAATTTAAGACAACCGACAAATTACGTAGTACCGAAAGGGCGGTTCAAGGGTGCTAATCCTTCCTTGACCGTAATCGACTCCCGAATCCGACATGTCTTTGGTAAGACGCAGATCAGGTAAGATATGAGGTATCCGATTAACCTATTTATTTTTTAAATAAATAATCGGTGGCGACTCCAATCACATTTTTCAAGTCGAAGCCCAATTCCGGGGCCCAACCGAAAGACGGTTACGACAGCTTGGCGACTCCGCTGGGGACCGTAAGTGAGTCAGGCTAAGGTAATTTCCAGTTGTCTTTTTAATGAAAAGGGTAAGTTTAAATTTTAAGGTAACATTTCGATCCTTATTGCTTACTTTTGATTATATTTTCGAAGTAAATAGTTGTACTGACCGTTTTTTAATGATTTCAGCCCTTAAAGATTTTTCATCTAAAGGCTCTATACCGAGCTCCGAACCCTATTTAAGTGGGGGTGAAAGCGACACCTTCGTGTGAATTTATTCTCCGTATGGGCCTAGCAAGTAACCTTCGGGATTCATATACCTTATGCCTTCGTGTGAATTTATTCTCCGTATGGGCATAAGGGAATGTTTCCTCTCGAGTTTAACTTAGTCCACACAAGCCTGTGATGGGTTTAGGACTAAGGGTCTGGCAAGCCCAAGGGGGCACCAGCAATTTTTATGATCTTTTTTTTTTATTTTTTTTCACCTCACTAACTCTTTTCATCTTCTTTTATTTTATTTTTTTTATTTCATCACTTGCATCATAAAAGGTCATTGATCCACTAAAAGTGTTTGTTAAAACTCGAATAATCTGAATCCATGGACAAGGTGTTGTAATACAAGAGATTAAAAACCCCGAGGTACGACTATGGTCCGAGAAGACTCAGAAAAATGGAGATAGTCTTCAAGGAAGCTATGTGTCAGAGCTTGTTAGCTACACCTCTATCAGTTTAAAACAGAATAATGTGCAAGAACTTCGAGACATATGAGATAGTTGGAAGAATGATCGGAAACAGAAGTTCAATCAGCGGTATGGTGACATTGCACTTTTGCTTCATGTTAAGACCAATGAGCCCTTAATCAGAGTCTTGGTTCAATTTTAGAACCTGAGATACAATTGCTTCACTTTTAACCAGGAGGATATGGTACCTACCATCGAAGAGTATACTACATTGCACTGTGAAAGCAAACTGGAGCGAGCCTACATCAAACACATCAAAGTCAGCCTTTCAAGAACGGACTGGCTAAGATTGCAGGAGTTGATGAAAAATGGGTGACTGACCGACTCCGAAACAAAGGTAACGGGCAGACTATAGACCTTTTTGCACTAGGTCTGTATGGCTTGATCATCTTTCCGAAGGTTTTTAGGATGCATTGACGCAGCCGTGGTGGAACTATTTGAGCAACTTCCGAAACGAGTCACCCATCACCGACCCTCAGCCGCGACCTTTTGGTCTCTAAACCATTGTCGAAGACTGGCGGAGGTAGATTCATTGGATGTGTTCAGTTCCTTCAAGTCTGGATTCACATCCACTTCTAGAAGACTGGGGTTGCCTACTGTAGATTAACACTACTATTCACCTTGAGAGAGTTCATCACCATGACAGGATATGAAGGCGCTTCAAAAGAGAAATGGATGAAAGTCTTCACTCTCTACAGGACCGGGATATTACCTGGAGAGCCCCCTGGTTATTCCTCAGTGATGTTCTTTTCAAGTGTGGGAATCTGACACTATGACCCTATTTGGACTTTGAGGTGCAGTTGGGTATGCTCCGTTGTTGGCACTTAGACAGTATGGGGACATCAGTTTGTCCCAGCAACATATGGATTATCTATATCAGAGTTTATGTATCACGATGACAGTTATAAGAGATGATCAAGAAGCAGTCGAGTCATGGAAGAAAGTATCTCGGATGGATGTCTAGAAGATTTAGTCCGAACATACCTTTATTGTTTTATGTCTCTTACAAGATAAAACATTTTTGTCTGAATAAGGATATTATGATATGGACACTTTTCTGGATCAATGCCTCGAACATTTCATGCATTTTGCATTTGCATTTTGCCTTTTTGCATTTTCATCTACATTTTAAGCATTTTCACAAACATGAAATTAAGTCGTGAAGGGCTCGATGAAGCGAATTTAACCACATGGAAGCAAGATTGTAACAGTAGGAGCCTGATCAGCTGATTGTAGGACAAAGCTTGCCAGGATGATCTAAGAAAAGAATCTCCATATCCTAAGGCCACGATGTTGAAGCTGCTAGCTGTTACCACGTAAGAAGCCCCAAACATTCCTCTGAAACCTGTAAGGCGCTTGCCGAAGAAGGGGGCATGGCATATACCATTTGCACTTAGAGGATTGTTTTGTTTGAACACGTCTTTGATCTTTCGCTTAATCTGTTAAATGATTGAATTTATCTACTTTCAAGGTAGAGCAATTGAACAAATTTTAATCTTAGTTCTTCGAATATTAATGAATTAAGGATTCTTTTAATTCTTCAAGAATTATAGATTTTTGACATATGACAAGATTAGACCTTTCTTATCCTGTCTCAAACCCCCAAAATGAAATACCTTGATCAAAAAGACCAAATTTGACATTACCTCCATTTGAAATTCTTGAACATTATCTTTATCTTTTGATACACCCATACCTTCTTTGAGTCAATAAGATCACACAACTCTTTTTAGACTCAAATTAACCTTTTTTACCATTAAAACCCAAGGCATTGAGTTGTTCATTTGAACATAAGCATTCTTCCAAGATACAATTTGGGGCATCTCGCCAGGAGCCTGAACATTGAGATATGTTGGGAGCAAGGAGCAAAAAAACAATTCATTCGAAATAATTCTATCATGCATTAATTGCATTGTTTTCATGTGAATAGAATTATCCTGAAATCTATCCCCCTGGGGATACTCTTCTGTGAAGACTTACATGTAT